AGCCACCCATCTCTCTCCCTTTAAGTGTGTGGAACCCGTGTTTCCTCCCAAGCCCGATCTCCGCAAGCTTGCAGGGAAATGCCAGCTTCGTGCTCTTAAAGGGGAAATGCGGCTGCTCTTAAAGGGGAAACGCCGGTTCCTGCATTTAAAAGGGAAACGCCGGCTCCTTTAAGTGCAGGGAACAGCCGTTTCTGGAGATCCGGCGCGCGGGTGGGTGGGGGGTGGATGTCCCCAACGTGACATCATCCCATCGGGATGCCACGCCCCCTCCAGGAACGCCCCCAAAGTCCCCCGCTGGAAGATGGACTTGGCAACCCTACCTGGCTCTCTCCGCTTTGTTGTTTCTCATATGTACTTTCTTTGTGTCGTTTGCTTTATTCATCAGTAAGCAACAAAAAGCTTGGAGATTAATAGAGCTAATGGTGTATTTATCAGGTAGGGAGAGCCTTTGCTATAAGCAGTGCTTCCTCTAAGCTGTGGAGTCTCGTGAGCGAAAATTCCTCGTTGTGAGCGAGCAATTTGGCCACCGCATCAATTAGTTTGCTCTGGAGCCATCCTTCTTGAGCTGAGACAAAAAATGTGTGAGTTGGAGGCTAAAAAGCTGTGAGCTAGCTCACACTAACTCAGCTCAGAGGGAACACTGGCTATAAGTAAACAGTTGAATAAGGACTCGTTTGGACTCCTCACAAAAGACCAGACAAATTCTGCCCCCCTAGGGAACCATATAACTATAATTAAATGCTCTCCTACATCAGGAACTCCTGCCCCGGAATGCTAATATTTCAGGGCACAAGGGAGACGGCCCCATGTTTTCCATGGGGTGCTCGCATTCTGTGTGCAGGGTGCTTTGTACGCGGAGGAGGCTTTCAAGCACGCAGGTTCCCTCCCTGTCTGCCTTCTGAAGGGGTATAATGCCAGTCTTAGGCTGCCACTGCCAAGCCTTCCTCGGCTCGGGAGCAGCAGTGAAGATGAACGTGGGAAGCGGGAATCGGCCATGTGCACAGCTTTCACAGTGCTATTCTGCTCGATGGACCACCACTACCGAGGCTACACGCTGGAGCTGATGCACTCTGGCACTAGCCAGTATGATATGCCCGGAGACAACTTTTTCTTGTATTCTACCAGGCCTCAGTAGAAGAGAAGAAGAAGAGATTGGATTTATACCCCGCCCTTCACTCGGAGTCTCAGAGCGGCTTACAAACTCCTCTCCCTCCCCCTCCCCACAACAGACACCCTGTGAGGTGGGTGGGGCTGAGAGAGCTCTGACACAAACTGCTCTTTTTCAAGGACAGCTGTGCCAGAGCTTGCGGCTGACCCAAGGTCACATCAGCAGGTGCAAGTGGAGGAGTGGGGGAATCGAACCCGGTTCTCCCAGATTAGAGTCCGCACACTTAACCACTACACCAAACTGGCTCTGTACTAAAACTGTACTAAAACTGCCTGTACTAAAACTGCCTGTTGCTTTTGAATCTGGGGGAGTGGTGGCCACTGCAACCCCTTCTCACTCCATACACGTAGGCATGTCTCTCCACACTGCCAGGATGTATTTATAGTCTGTTTGCATTTCATGCCAGTTCTGTGTTTTCCCGAGGCTAATCTTTTATCTCTCTGCTTTAATAGTTAAGTCTCTTCAAATGAGTTCTAGAGTCCAGTGGCACCAGTATTGATGTGGCCTGTTTTTAAATGCTTGTTTTAATGTTTTGACTGATTATTTACTGTGTTGTGTGGCCCAAAACCCTGAGCCCATGTGTGGGGAGGGTGGAATATAAATTTGAAAAATAAATACTTAACTTGGGACAGTAGTTACTTGCCACCGAATTCCAAGACGAGGTCCTAAATTCCAAAGCCTCTCCTGTTTCTTATTCTTGGTGTTTCTCTTTTAGAACTCAGTTCTGATGAAGAGGATTCTGGGATTGATTCCAAGAAGGCACGAGTCTGTCGAGGCCCAAAGGGTGCTGGGAAATCCTTGAGCTCCTCTGACCACGGAGACTCTGGAGCAGAAGGTCATGCTGAGGCATCTGGGAGCGAGGAGGAGAGTGTGAAGAACAACACTACACCCCCCTCCCGGAAGACTGAAAGAGAGACGCTGGGGAGGCCACCCAGCAAGGGGCAGCGAGGCAGAGGGAAGGGGGAAAGGCCAGGGAGTGAGAGAGAGGAGAGCCAGGGAGGGCAGGGGAGCGATGCTGAAGAAGAGGTCAGCAAAGCCAGGAAACCAACAAAGCACCAAACTGAAGAGTCAGAGAATAATTCTGAGGATGACCTTAAAGAGTACAGGCTCCAGAAGAGGAAAGGGATGGGCAGAAAGGCGAAAGGCCCTGACAGGGTGGGGAAGGGGGAGTGGAGAAAAGAAGATAAGCAAAGGGGGAAAAGAGAGACTGAGTCAGAAGACGAAAGCGATCTGTCTGAGACACGTGGAAAGAAGAGAACCGGTCGGAGTGATAGTGGAAAGGAGAAGGGAGGAGGTGAGGGCCATAAGACCAAGATCCTGGGAGGATCCAGAAGCCGTAAGGTTCGAGGGCAGAGCCAGAGTGAGGATGAGTCTGACTGTGCTTCAGGGGAGAAGCCAAAGACACAGAGCAAAGTGGCTGGTTATAAACACCAAAAGAAAGATGCGAGCGTGGAGGAGTCTGAGAGCGATCCAGAGGACAGGTGTGAAGGCCAGATGAAGAAAGATGTACACAAGACCAAATCCCAGAGGGCGAGGGCAGAGAAACTGGAGACCGACAGTGATTCGGAAGAAAGAGAAGTGCTTAAGAAGAAGGTAAAAAACCAAGGGATGAAAAAGGCACAGGGGAGGGGGATGAGCAGAAAGGAGACGGAGGGAAACCAGAAACGCAGGAATCCCATAAAGCAGCAGGGAGGGCACAAGCCCAAGAGAAGCGTGAGCAGAAAAGAATCGGGAAGCGAGACGGAAGAAGAGAAGGGCTCGGAACTAAAAAAGAAGGTAACGCGTGACTCCAGCAGTAGTGAAAACGAGTCCCAGAGGGAGGCAGGGCAGAGGGGGAGAGGCAGAAAGCAGCCTGGGAAGACGGCCCTTAGCAGAGGCGACTCAGAAAGCGGCTCTGAAGAAACTGCAGGTGTGACTCCGAGACAAAAGAGGATGTCAACAGGGAGGAGGGTGAGCGAGGAGGTGTCTGGGAGCGGATCCAGCGAGGCAGAAGACGAACCGAAAAAGAAAGGAGCGGAGAAGTCCCGGCAAGAAAGTGTCAACGAAGTGGAATCGGAGGGTGATTTGGAAGAATCCGGCAGCGAATCTGCAGGGGAGGCGAAAAGCAGAAGCCGGCAGGAGAAACAAACACAGAAGCCCAAAGGCCGAAGTAACAGCAAGGGAGAAATGAGGAGCGAATCAGATAAGGAGGACGAGTGCAGTAGCTCGGGAGATGAAGACAGTCCTAGATCTTCCAAGAAGCCGCATCAAGGGAAGGTAAGGTGGGTCTGAGCAGGGTGCTATCCAGAGGTCATTTCCTGCTCCCATCCGGAGTCCCTGTCCCTCCTCCACGTGATGGATCTGCACCGGGCTGGGCTCCAAGTGGGGAACCGAACATTTGAATGCTCCCCGTGACATTAAGATATTCTGTACGTCTACAGAACGTGCATGCCAGTAAGGAGGTTCTAGGTAAGCTCCCTCTTTCCAGGCATATTGGTTTTATAGGGAGTATTGGGTGTCGTTGGAAGCATTCAAGTATTGGGTTCTCCCATCTGCAGTCACTCGTGTTCCAGCCATCTACCAGGCTGAAAAGTTCTCTGGTTTTCATCATCTCCCATCCCCAACCCATTGCAGGACAAAGAGCACCGTTCCGCAAAGGGCGAGGATCACCCTTCGGTCCAGCGCCTGAAGCGCTACATCCGGGAGTGCGGCGTGCGCCGGAATTACAAGAAACTGCTGATGGGTTGCCGTTCGCGCAAGGCACAGTTGGAGGTGTTGAAGCAGGAGCTGGAAAACCTGGGTCTGAAGGGTAAGTGAATGGCAGACAAACTGGACAGCGCCTCAGATGGTGTCCTGGAGGGGGAGTTTTTTCCCTCCAGGGAGAGGGGGGGGCATAAGAGGCATAGGACCCAAAGGGAGTACATGAAGCTGCCTTGTAGGGCTCAGGCCAGGGGGCCGTGTTGTTCTGACTGGCAGCAGCTCTCTGAAGGCTCAGGCAGAGCAAGGAGAAGAAGAGATTGGATGTATACCCCGTCCTTCACTCGGAGTCTCAGAGCAGCTTACAATCTCCTTTCCCTTCCTGTCCCCACAACAGATGCCCTGCGAGGTAGGTGGGGCTGAGGGAGCTCTGAGAGAACTTGTGACTGACCCAAGGTCACCCAGCTGTAGGGGAAGGGGGAATGAATCCATGTGGAGGAGTGGGGAATCAAACTTGGTTCTCCCAGATTAGAGTCCATGCTCCTAACCACTACACCAAAGGGTCTTTTCCAGAACCTGCTTTGTGAGAACCTGATAACCAAAACCATGACTGAACAGAAAAAAGACAATAAATTATAAACAATTGTTAAATGTATAAGGTGTCACAGTGATTATTAGAAGCACAAGTATATCTGTCAGGTTCCACAGCAAGTAATTCTTCACACACGTTTCTCCTGAAGCGTTATGTTTATTAGTGCACAAGACTGGTACCATGTCCACAGGATTATTGTTAGGAATAACTAGAAGGCGGGAACATCCCAATACATATAGCTGGGCAAGGCCATTAGCTAAGCAAATGAACTTCAAGCGTGCGGGAGATTACATAATGAGCGAGAGAGTCCCATGGTTTCCTGAGAGCAGAAAAATTCACACCAAAGGTGGATCCCAAGCCCTCCCTAATGCACAAGGCCAGACTGATAACGGCGTCTAGTTCCCACGGCTCCCTGGCATGTTTACAGCAAGCTGCTGAGCTGCAAGCAAAGCGGGAAGAGGGAAGGGTAGACAACACAGATATGGCAGCTAGCTGACAATATCAAGGGGAAACGTCCTCTTAAAGCCATAGAGTCAAAGGAAACAGTCCTCTTAAAAGATGTAAAAACGTCTGTGAAAGTAACCAAATCCACAGTAAATCTGAAACCCTCCTGTGAGGAGTTCAAGGAAGCAGACGGTCCTCTTATTGAAAGGCAGTAAGTCATCGGGCGACAGGAACCTCTTTCCAGGCGAGATCTTTCTCAAGTCCAGTTGCCATAATAGAACATACAACGGCAGGGACCTCACTCAGAACGTCTCCATAATCTCTAAATGCTGCAAGGTGACAAACGCCCAAGCAGTCTAATGTTTGCCGGAAAAGGTGCACTAGTTCTTGAGAAAGATCTCCCTTCGAAGCAGGTTCCTGTCGCCTGATGATTTGCTGCCTTTCAATAAGAGGACTGTCTGCTTCCCTGAACTCCTCACAAGAGGGCTTCAGATTTACTGTGGATTTATGTACTTTCACAGACGTTTTTACATCTTTTAAGAGGACTGTTTCCTTTGACTCTATGTTTTTAAGAGGACCTTTTGCCTTAATACACCTGTCCTTCTAATCATCACTGTGACACAATATACATTTAACAACTGTTTATAATTTATTGTTTCTTCTGTTCGGTCATGGTTTTGGTTCTTTACTGCTGCCTTGCCCATGACGTCTCGTTTTGTTTTGGTTTTGTGAGAAGGTACCCGTCACGGAAGGCATTTCCTTCCTGTTCCTTGTCTAAGGAAAAGGAAACACAGTCGGCTGCAGTGGGTTTACGCTGCCCGCCCCCCGCCCACCCATTCGGCCAAGGTTCTGTCCAAAGGTAATCCATATTTCGACCACCAGAAAGGTGAACTCTGCAGCCAAACTGTGTGAATGATTCAAGTCAAGCTAACTTTTGCTCATTTTGCAGAAGATGTCGTTGTAGAACACCTGGTTGGCCTCAGTCTCCCTCCCTGGCAGCTCCCCTTAAAGGGTCTCCGGCATCAGGAGCTGGGAAAGATCTCCCTCTGCTAGAGACCGCGAGGAGCCCTTAGCAGCCGAAGGAGACAACCCTGAGCTAGGCAGGCCGATGGTCACACTCCGTGGGAGGCAGCCTCACATGGGGATGAGCAAAGAGTTGTGCGGAAAGACTTGCGTGCTTGCTTACTACTCCCTGTTCAGAAGGTCTCACCAGATGTTTCTTGCGTGTGTTCAAGCCCCTGCTTCCCGGCCCGTAAGAGATTGACGCTTGCCTCGTTCTTCCCACCCCATACAAAAAGCCCACAGAGGCCCCTTTTCCCCATAGCTTATTCATTTGCTGTCTTCATAGTCCACCTTTCTCACAGAGACTCAAGTAGATTCCACAGCAGTGTTCCCTCTAAGCTGCGGAATCTGGTGAGCAGAAATCCTATTTTGTGAGCTGCTGGCATTCAAGTTGTGAGCGGGTGATGTGGCTACTGCATCAATTAGTTTGCTCTGGAGCCCCATCCTTCCTGAGCTGGGACAAAAATGTGTGAACCAGAGGCTAAAAAACTGTGAGCTAGCTCACACTAACTCAGCTTAGAGGGAACACTGTTCCACAGTGTAAGTGGATAACAGTCAATGTGATACGGCATCTAGGAAGCAACATGCTAGGACTTAGGGTCACAGAACTCTGAATAACACAGTATATGAGGCATGCTATATAGAGTGCGGCTATAATACAGGAAACGATGTTGCATCAACGGAAAACACAGCCACAGCAGAGCAACAAATGCAGAACCATATAAGCCAGTGATGGCGAACCTTTTAGGGACCGAGTGCCCAAACTGCGACCCAAAACCCACGTATTTATCGCAAAGTGCCAACACGGCAATTTAACCTGAATACGGAGGTTTTACTTTAGAAAAAACAACTCATACATTAACTTAAGATGATCCAAACAAAGTAAGGAAAGCAACCCCAAATGCTTTCATTTACTTAAAATTATTTGGCAGAGAATTCGACATTTTAATGATGGTCTGGGCCTGGCTGGGGCAATGGCACGCGTGACCGCAGAGAGGGCTCTGAGTGCCACCTCTGGCACCCGTGCCATAGGTTCGCCACCACTGATATAAGCTATCCATAGTATGTAGTCCGCTCTGCAGTCCCTGGGTCAGGTGCCTTCCGGAACCATTCGGTTACAGGATAGTCCTATTACCTTTATTCAAAAGCCCTCCTGAGCAATTCTGTTTTACAGAGCTGGCAGGATGGCATAAGTGTGGGCTTTCTCCTGGCTTTCTCAGGTAAGCTGTTCCACTAGGTGGGGGACACAGCAGAGAAAGCGCATTGTTGGACAGTTGCTGACCTTGCCCATTTGCAGGGTGGGAAGCGTCCCCTGTTGACTTTGCGCCTGTCACAAAGCTGTTAAAGGCCAGAGTTTCGGGAGGGGGGAAGCAACTTTCTTTGATTTTTGTGGGTATTTCTGGGTTTCCGGATTTGGGTTCTCGGGAATTTTTTGTTCACTTACTTTCCCTCAACTTTCCACAGGGACGCCCACTCTAGCCAAGTGCAAGGCCCTGAAGAAAAAGCTGGAAGAAGCTGCTGAGGTGGCTTCCCTTGATCTAAGCAACATTATCGCTACAGAAGGTAGGTGCGTGTGTGTGGTGGGAGGAGCCAAAAAGAAGGGGTGTGGCTGACATGAGGGGCCAGGGATATGGGTAGCCGAAAAAGTTGTTTGTGGGCAGGTACGGGGAAATTGGACATTCTGAGGGAGAAAATTGAAAAGAAATAGTTCATGATAGAAGAAGAAGAAGAAGAGATTGGATTTATACCCCGCCCTTCATTACCCAAAGGTGTCTCAGAGTGGCTTACAAACTCCTCTCCCTTCCCCTCCCCACAACAGACACCCTGTGAGGTGGGTGGGGCTGAGAGAACTCTGACACAAACTGCTCTTTTTCAAGGACAGCTGTGCCAGAGCTTGTGACTGACCCAAGGTCACATCAGCAGGTGCAAGTGGAGGAGTGGGGAATCAAACCCGGTTCTCCCAGATTAGAGTCCGCACACCTAACCACTCAAGTGCAAGAGGAGAAGTGGGGAATCAAACCCGGTTCTCCCAGATTAGAGTCTGCACACTTAACCACTACACCACTTTTCTCACACTCAACGACATAGGAAGGCATTAAATTTTTTAACTATCCTCCAAAAGGTTTTTTTCCCCTTCACATTTTACTGTGAGGTCTGATGTACGTCTCCTTTCCGAGTCCAAAGTGATGCAGTCTGCCTTTTACATGAATCATTTAAACATACCAAAGAGAGATTCCTCAGATCTACATTTTTGCATGCTGATTAAAGCTTCCAAAGAAATGGAATATGCAGAGAGTGACTCTGCCACCTTTTTAAAGCGTGTGGTCTGGGGTGGGAGTAATAATGGTGTAAGGGGCAGTGGAACAAATCGGGGAGGGAGTGGGTGTGGCCTAGGTCAGAGGAACTGGGGAAGGCCAAGAGTCGATTTGTGTTGAAGGTCTGTTGACATAAGAACATAAGCCAATGCTGGGTCAGGCCAGTGGCCCATTCAGTCCAACACTCTGTCACAGTGGCCAAAAATACCAGGTGCCATCAGGAGGTCCAGCAGTGGGGCCAGGACATTAGAAGCCCTCCCACTGTTGCTCCCCCCCAGCACCAAGAAGACAGAGTACCCATTGCCCCAGACCAAGAGTTCCTGTCTATACACTGTTGAACTTCAGATCTTGTGAATGGATTAAAAATAAGTGGGCTTTGTTCAGAGAGACCCTAGTCCATTTCTACACAGATTATCTGCCCCAGGTTCAACCCTGCTGGGAAGCAGAGCTTTCCCCCCCTGCTTTCTCTCTGCACTATAGTATATTTGTGCACCTCCTGGGTTTTCTTTCTTAAACCTGCTTTACAGTGAATACTTGAGGAAATTCACAGTAAAGGCTGAATGGCTGCCATGCTGGGCATAAAAATTTGGATTTTCCTGCCCACGTGGCAGCCGTTTTTCCTCACCGGCAGATGCCATTTCTTTCCCCCACTTCTGGTGGGCTTTTTTTTAAAAAATCAGCAGTCGTGTAACATTGTATCAGCATACAAGTCTTTGGCCACTTTCATTGAAGAGATATAAGGGGAAAGGAAAGGAGCTAGAGACTTGTTTAAAGAATGAAAGCTGGGGATTTGAAAAAAACCTGTTACACATGTAATAATAATATTATAATGATACTCAATTGGGGCTTGTTTGTTTTTTAAACCGAAAAAGTCCCAGGGGTGCAGGGCAGGGGGAATGGCTGCTCTTGGGGAACAGGGGTAGGGAAACTGCCTATAGACCTGCCACATGGAAATGTCATTGTTGCTGTTCTGTATGTGCAGCTGCACCAGCAACAGGGAAAACACACACAAGCCTGTCTTCTCTTGGAAATCACAGAAATGTGTCCATTCATGCAGCTCTCCCCCCCCCCCAAAAAAAAAAAAAACCCTCCTTTCCATCCCGACAGGCCGCCCAAGGCGTCGTAATGTCTGGAGTCTCTACAGCAAGCCAGAGGAGCCGCCCAGTTCGCCAGAGGAGCCGCCCATCCGGCGTCCTTCGACGGAGTGGTCCCGTCTTCGAGGGGTCATCAGTTCCGACGATGAAAGCGATTGACTGTGGGGGGGGGGCATCCAAGCAGTTATGGGTCATGACCCTAGCTTTGAGGAGGAGGGGAGGGTTAAACTAAGGATTGTCCTCTGCTGATCAGGAGGACGGTTCTGGATATTCTTAGCCCATCCCTTTGGATCCGTTAGGGGGGAAAGCTAACCACCTTCTAGTACTGATTTCCTTTACCAGGGAGACCAAAAGCACAAATGATCTATGTTGAGCACAGATCTTTCTCCTTCTGAAAATACATTTGATGTCAGAGGAGGGGGGGCAAGAGACCCCAAGTGCATACAGCCTAAAGCTGTGCCTGGATTGAAACTTTGGTCAGGCAAAAGGCATCCGTTCTCATGTGGAAAATTCCAGAGGAGGAGGCGTATAAGTGTGCATAAGTTCTTTAAGTATTTGTATTGTTTCTCGTTGTTGTCTTCTGCAGTATTCCTAAATAAGATGCCAATAAGTGTGAGTGAGGAAGGGGGTTATTTTCATTTCAGACATAAAGCTAGACTGTGATACGGCACATGAAAATGGCTGGGCTTATCCTCACCCTCCTTACCCCTCCCCTTTATCTAGCAAACTTGGTATCAAGTGCACTTAGCATAAAACCGTGGTTTGCATTTCCATCTGATGAGGCAAAGTTTACAGTCTGTTGTTCAGTCTAGGATTCCAAGCGACAGTTTGAAGCCGGTTTGCAGTCTGGGACGGGAGGGGGGAAGCACAAACCGTAACTTGGCCAACTTGGCCTTAACCGCAAGATGTGGTTTGTATGAGAGTGGAAGGAGCTAACTGGTTGATCTGGTTCACTTAGCAACAGACTATGGCTTGGTGTCGCTCTGGAGCAACCTGTATTCCGCAACAAGGCCTGTTCCTTTCCGTGTCCTGAAGGCCCCTCCCCCTCCCGATTTATTTTGGTTCATCTATGAAAGAACCCAATTCTGGAATGGACCCTGTTCAGATGGAAGATGGCACCTTTATAATGGGGTGCTTATTGTTGTGTTATGTTTTGAAGATTTTTATGACTTAAAAATATGCTTTTTTATATTTGTTAAATAAAGTCTTCTGTTCGGTTCCTGGAAGTCTCGTATTTCCTGCAGTTCAGCTTAGAAGGGTGAGTTTCCAGATGTCACGGAACAAAGACTCCAGTCCCAGGGAAGAGAGCGTCTGGTGCATGCACGTTTCCTTTTATGATGAGCACACGCAGTGGCCAGGGAGGTTATGTCCATGTTGGTGTGAATGATACCATTTGGGTCTTCTCCATCAGCTGGGCACTACCCTCATGTTCTTCATGCAGATTCTTCTCCAGTGTGAGATCATACCACAGAGTAATAGCAGGACTCACGGCTGAAGGGCCTCCACTGATATTCTCCTGGTCCTCTCCCTTGGCCCATCCTCACTTGCCCGGAACTCTCCTTGGGTTAGTGCAATGTACTGCACTAAGACAACTTTCCCAGTAGCTGTGGAAACTGAAATATTGAGGTCTAAATACACTTTCCCAAGGTGCCCAAAAATCAGTAAGCTGTAACTGCAAAATAAGGATTTTGTGGTATTCTCACGTGCAGGTTATGATGCATAGTGTGATGGACTACCTTTGGTTCAAGAAGATTTCCTGGTCCACATAACCCAATGCTCCCAGGATTGGTTGTGGCCCACCAAGGCCTTTGAGTTAGATCTTCTTTTCTGCATAGCTGTCTGAGAACACTTTTTAGCCAGGATTAAATTTTTCTACCTCTCGTGTCTCTTTTTTGTCTTCTTGCCAACAAGAAAAGCATTCTTTCACACACAAACAGGCCTCATGGCAGTTTCAAAAATGTTTATTATTTATTAAGATCTTTGAACTGAAGCCATAAGAAACCCTAACTTTAATTAATATAGATTTCCCCCCCCCTTTAATCTTCTAATATATACAAACTATACAGAAAGGCAAAGGGTTTAAATATTTATATATGTATATATAACACTTGGAAAGAAGACTTACTGTGCACTAATCCCTGTCAACCAGTTGCCCCCTTAATGAGAGCTGAAATTCTCCTCATGGGCCCAACCTGTACCTTGGGAGTAAAATGTTCTATATGGCTACATGACAGTTAAATTAACCACTGCTTTATGCTAGCCTAAAGATCCGTCTCTCTATCATGTGACATCCCCCTCCCTTCAGATACCAGCCATTTTGTGACATTTAAGAGCCTTATAACTTAGGGGTGCTGTGCTTAAATTGAAAATGAACTTGCTGTGGTTTGTGAAGCCGTTTTCAGCCCCCAAACCTTCCTCTACTAACAACACTGCCTTGAAGAGATGAAAAACAGACATGAAGCAGATGGTGGGGTGGGGTGGCAGATTCCGGGAAGTGTGTATTTGTGAGTCTGAAAAATCCCTGTACAGCAATCTTGCTCTCAGGTACTTTCAACTGGCTTTATTTCCCAACTCACCACTAATCTTGTTTTAGCATTGTATATTCCCACTTACAGGCTTCAGGCCAGAGGGTTTTGCTAAAAACTATATTACTTACGTTCCTTCCTTGGGTCAGCTTTCAGCTGCTGCTAGTACTTTTGACCCAGGAAGCCTCTAGAATAGTCTAGAAAGGAGTTATATAGGTTTCTGTAAATATTTTGAAAAAAAAAGAGTGTTTTTGTTACATGACGCTCCTATATTCTGACAATTTTCCTGAAACATAATGTGAAAATAAAATATTGAGGAAGGGGATGGGGAATATGTGAGGTCCGATTTGCCAAATATCGTCTGTAAGAGCTGCCTGTTTTTCAAGCTAATGTAGTTAAGACACTTCAGTTTATTCATGAAAAATACTGTGGTTGGGAGGAGGGAACTATTCACCCTCAAAATATAAAAATCAACACATTCTCAAATGCCTTAGTTTTATTTTTGCAAAGATTTGGCCTAGAAATGACCTTGTCTTATGCAAAAAGCCCCACATTAGTCTGGTGGCAACTTCACTATGCCAGAACTTTGACTGGTATGTCTGGTAGGAAAGCCAAATGGAGCTGAAAACATTTTCAGTCGTAAGAATGTTAACATTCTGAGTTCTTCAGAGACAACAATATTGATTAAAACTGCTACTGTTTATATCACTGTAGGAATCCATGTGGAAGTGTCGAATTTTACAAATGGCCATGTTTACAAGACGGTAGTGGATTGGGGTTTTTCTGTACAAGTGGCTGATGGATGGCGGCTAGTAGAAGATGTGCAACTTCTTTAGTATTGAACGTCCTTCACAGTAAAAACCAGCAGTCAAAACATTTCAAACCTCCTTAAGTGGGGATTTGAGTTGCGAATCTGAGCTTTGCAACCTCCTCTCTGAAGCACTTTGGAGTCTGCACCTGTAAACAGGCAACAGAACAGCCTCCGTAGCTTCAAAACCGCGCCTGCTGCTTCCCTTCAATTTCTTGGTGCAGCCTGGACTGCTTGTAAGCACCATTTTGAAATGTTAACACACAATTAGTATGTTTTTTTGGGAAATATCCACAACTGTAGAATGCATCTTTCCCTTTCCATGTCATGACTGTAGAGCTCTTGTTCAAGTGGAAGAACGCTTGGTTTGAAATTTGCCCTCACACAGCTTTGTTTAAAACGCAGCGCTGCTGCTTCAGGTACTAAATCCACTGCCAAGAGTGTTGCTTCTTTACTATTCTTTTGGATGGGGTTTTATTCTGGCTGCCTCCGGTGGTAGACGCTTCTCTTTGGAAATGTGCTTCTTTGTAGGAAGTTCAAAAAACTCCCCTCTTCCCGCTCCACACACCACCAGGGCCCTTTGTGATTTGTTGGTCTTGAGGGGTACAGATGAGACAGGCTGGTTTTTAATATTAAAATACGTCCTTGTGCCAGAAGTACAGGTACCTATGAACTTTTTCCATTAAAACGGTACCCTCCTTGGTGCAGTTTTGTTCTCCCCAACTTTGAGTGTGTACTCTATGCTGAGGTAAAATTAAAATACGTCCTTGTGCCAGAAGTACAGGTACCTATGAACCTCTAACTTTTTCCAGTTAAACAGTACCCTCCTTGGTGCTGTTTTGTTCTCCCCAAATTTGAGTGTGTACTCTATGCTGAGGTAAAATTAAAATTCTTCCTTTCCTCCAGTATTTTGGGTTCTCCCCCCCGTTCTACTGAAACATAGTATTTATGGCACTTATGAGTGGGATTGCAGCCTGCTTAGTGAAAACTACGTTTATGTTAGTTTCCCTTCCTGTTTCCATCTTCCCCCTGCCACTGGAGCTCTACTGAAACATAGTGAAAACCACGGTTTATGTTAGTTTCCCCTCCTGTTTCCATCTTCCCCCTGCCACTGGATGTTCTGTCATCTTTAGGTTCCTGGCCTGGCTTGGTATGGGTGGAGCACTCCTTGAACATTTGGAGTAATGTTAACAGTGGTTTACATCACCTTGATGTAAATTTCATTCCCTGAGGGAGGTGGGGATGTATTGTGTTAACTGAAAAATAAAAATAATTCCAACCCCCATTGCTGGGAAGTATCTCCAGAAGACTAATTTTCCACCTTCTAACTAGGGAGAGGTAATTTATTAAGACCTTGGGGCCCTTACTTTAGATAGCAATCTTTACTCCCTTATACCTCCTGTTAACTATCTCCTCAGAATAAGTAAGATTTAGTTCCTGGTGATGACTGCCATACCAGAAGGTCCATGTAATTCAAGCCTTTTCCGTAATCTAATATTGCACAGTCTTACAAAAAGACTAACCATAACAGAATTTCTTATCAAGGTCCACCATGTTGGAAGGTCATACCAAGGTACTACCATGGTGGAACATTTTGATCCTAAGTCCAGCTAGCCCACCACCCAACTATCTTCCCAAAGTTGCCCACAGTCTATCTTAAGTTCCACAAGGGCACTAGCCCACGGGTCTCCTTTTCATAGACATCTGGGACCAGCCCAATGGGCGAGGGCACCATCTTGACAGTGTTCTTGCCAAACAGCTTGCGTTCATATTCAATCAGTTGCCTCCAGAAGCCTACATTGGGCCTCACAACGGGTCGCCTGCTCTTCACCCACTCATGGGCATCCAAGAGACTCAACCGGTGGTATTTCATTAAATAGGCAATACAAAGGGAGGCTGACCTGCTGACGCCTGCCACACAGTGGACAAGGGTTCTTCCATTCTTCTTCCCTGTCTGATGTATCCTATCAGCCACGGAATCAAAGTACAAGGAGAGCGGAGCGTGAGGGAGGTCAGGAACGGGCACCTTGACGTAGTCAATATCTGGCCAGTTGGCATTGGGGATTTCCATGGTAGCATTCACTACACAAGTCACAGCCCTGGAGTAGACCATATGTCTGTTGGATGCTGCGTTGCCAGAGCAAAGGTAGAGGCAGGGTGAGATTTGGGCAATGCCTCCTAAGACAGACAAAGCATTCCCAGCAGTAGGGGACGGTTTGGTCACCGAAGGGGGCGGAGAGCGGCGGAAAAAGCCGTGGTTCCGGAAATTCATGGTGGATGGTTCAGCATACATAACAGCTGTGAAGAAGAAAGGCAAGCCTTAAGAATTGGTGCACGCTTAACAAGTTAAACGGTCACATCCTGTTCCCTACATATTTTACCTAACCGGCTAGTATTTGATTACCATTGGCAGCCCCCAAGAGATCAAAAACCACTCAAAAGTGTAGAAGTTTGTTCAGTTGTTAAAGATATAATTTCTTTTATCATCAATAGATTATCGCTAACTTTAGGAAAGTTTTTGTTTATCCTTTAAAGAGAGAATCTATCCCCAAAATCTGTAACATTGATGTTTCATTGTCTACGTCCCCCTTCTGTATCCCACCTTTTCTTAAAGAAAATAATAAAAAATTTAAAAAATGAATAAAAAAGCCACTCCCCCCCACAGTTCTTGACCCCCTATCTGAACAGTAGCTCAAGAGAAAATCCTTTTAATGGATGGGTCTGGGCTAGGGTTGCCAGCCTCCAGGTGGGGTCTGGAGTTCTCCGGCTGTCATACCTGATCCCCAGATGAGAGAGTTAAGTTCCCCTGGAGAAAATAGCGGCTTCGGAGGGCAAACTCTATGGTATACCTTAGATTCCTGGTGAATCCTCTCCTCTCTCCTCAGAGGCCCCTGCTACAGGATCTGTCCCCAAATCTCCAGGAATATCCTGGTGGAGTTGGCAATCCTAGTCTGGCCATAGATTTGCTTGTTTCGGGGAAGGAAACTGGGGCAGATATGGGGTGAACTAGGGATGGGAATTAGAAATGGTCATTGGAGCAAACGGGAGAGCTGACGATAATGGTGGCGGCAGGGAACAGTGATGTTAAGAAGCCGAGGAGAGGACACGGCAATGTGAAGCGACCAAAAAAGTAACCGAAGGAGCAAAAGATGAACGCGAGGGAGTGTCCACCAGCCAGCAAGTTCTGCATTGGTGCAAAGCCAAACATCTCCCAATAACCTACCTCGGTCATTTTCTTGAAGCCCCCGAAGAGCTGTGCGTGGCTGGCCCCGGACGGGGGGGGGGGGGGGGGGGAGGGAAGGCACTAGAAACGGTGATGCTGCAGGAACGCTGCGCAGAAAGGGGATGGCGGAGACGCTGGGGACATGGAGGGGTGGGGAGGGAGCAGACGGCCTCTTAAAGGGGCAGTGGGCTCTTTCCCGGCGCCTGAGCTCTGCCCCTCCCACCCCCTTTGCCGACACGGCCGTGGGCTCCAAATGGGGCTGTCACTCGTGCTCTGCGGTGATTGGTGCGCAGGGAGGGCGGTGGCCGCGTACCGGAGGTTCCCCTTCCTGTGATCGATAAGCGGCCCCTCCCCCAAGGATCTGTCTCCACGAGACCCAGCTGCAGCTTCTGCCCTTCTGCTCCCCAAATCGCTGACTCCTCCATAATAACGCAACACGAGCCTCGAGGCTCAGAGACCGCACCCCCTCCCCTTTCTAAATACCAGTGCAGTGTCCAAACTGGGGTGTACTGGTTGGTCCTGGAATCTGCATTGTGCTACCAGCATATAACTGAAAACACTGAGTCCCAATGCTTCCTCGAAGCTGTGGACTCTTGTGAGCAAGGATTCTACATTGTGAGCTACTGGCGTTAAAGTTGTGAGCCTGCGATGTGGCTATTGCGTAAATTAGCTTCGAGGGAACACTAGAAGATTACACCGGGATGAATGAATAGATTCTGTAGGTATTGCACTGGCAAACTGGAGTCCAGTGGCCTTTAAACCAAATGATTATGCTCAGTGGCAAATGGTTATGTTCACTGGGGCATGTGCTGGGCCTTGCTGGTTAGCCCCAAGGCATTCAAAAGCATGCTTTTATTTCCTTAAAAGGACCGCATTATAAGAATCCCACTCAGGTATGTCACAGCATGCAGTTATAACTTGCCCTTCCAATGTACTTTGAACCAAGGGTTGGCAGCCCTGGGTTGGAAAATTCCTGGAGATTTGGGGGGGGGGGGGGGAGAACCTGGGGAGGGCGGGGTTTGGGGAGGAGACAAACCTCATTCGACTACAGTGCCATAGAGTCTACCCTCTAAAGCGGCCATTTTCTCCAGGCAAACTGATATCTAGTCTGGAGGTCAGTTGCACTACTAGGAGATCTCCAGGCCCCATTGGGAGGTTGGCAACCCTAAACCACAGGCACTCTGTGCTTCTCATTCTGCCTTATTTCCATACTCAATTGCCAACTCATACAACCTTTCCTGTGGCCACTGTACGGAAATGCAGCCCTGCCAGAAGCAATCTTGCTTGAAAAGTAGGCGAGGGCATATCAAGGGTAGGTAGAGGCACACATTTGGGGTCACTTAACACAGACCGATTACCTTGTAACCACATTTCCAGGAACTGCAGTTTTAGGGGAGGAGTGCAGGCTTTCTATATGTATGTTTATATCCAGGGTTCACACATGAAGCTGCCTTATCGTGAATCCGACCCTTGATCAGTTAAAGTCAGACATGTCTACTCTGACAGGCAAAGGCTCTTTGGGGGTTCAGGTGGAGGTCTTTTGCCTACTACCTGATCCTTTTAACTGGTGAATGAGGCTGGAACCTTCTGCATGTTAAGCAGATGTTCTGCCACTGAACCACAGCCCCTCCTCAAGGGTAGTCATTCCAATATGTGTAAGGGGCAGGGGCAGTGACTAAAGAAGAAGAGGTTGGATAAATATTTTGGATTCAACCAGGTCAAAGTGTAAAATTTTAACAAATGTATTTAGAAGCACAAAATAAAAGGTTATCTTGAGAACATGCCTTGTAACTGCTTCTCAAGAGCCATTCACCTGATTTAGCCTGGCATTCTTCTCAACCCCCCTCCCCGCCTTTTGACATCAGTCTAGGAATTAGTCAGGTCCAGCCCGGTTGCCTTTCTAGGAATCCTGAACCCAAAGTTCTGCCTCCATCTATTCTATTGTTTTATCACTTTCAACCTCCTTTGGCCTCCCTTGCCTCTGGTGTGGGTTGAAATCACACCCCTGACTGACCTCACTTGGATGCCACTTATAAATGCTGCCCTGCAGCCCCCCCCCCACCTCTGCAGCTCAGATATACGCTTTACTTCCAGAATTGTGTTTGAGAACACAGCCTCATCTGATTTCCAGAGATCCCTTCTTCCCCTTTAACTCCCAACTTTATAAGCAATTATTCCTTTTCTATAGAACTCCAGATCTCTCTAGAAACACATCTGTTTGGCCCCACCACTCAGGAATGTACAAACCACCTCTTTGTCCCTCATTTCTAAACCCTCTGTCTCCAAACCACCCTTGCCACAAAAATAACATGCTCAAGAGTTAACCATTTCTTTATGCAATCATGGTAGCAAAACAATGCTAGTTAGGTGAAATTATCCTGAGTCACAGTTCTGTATGTGGAACTGGAACTCTTGAGCCACGTTCAGTCATTATAAATACAGAGCAAAGGGTGTGGCGATTATGGTGGATTAATTACTTTGGAGCAAAAGATGGACTCTTGCATGTACACACCTTCAGCCTGGCTCCCATACAGCCACTGATCCCACACTCCCCTTCTAAGCGCCCCAAATTGTTCCACACCACTACACACCACTTCCCCACAGAAACCCAGTCCCCACCTGCAGTGAACACCTCAGATATCCTTGCCCGCAGCCATTCAAAAGTCTTCCTTTCCCAAGTGCCTCCAGCTCCCAGAATTTTCTCCCAAGGCCCCACCTCAAAAGCCACTCTGGGGCACCAATAGCAAAAACCCAGCCATCCCACCCACCCACCCACCCACCGCAAACAATGCAAAACTTAAACTTACCAGTCAGTTTCTCGCGGTCTTTCAGGGAAGGCTCTGCAAACTGTTCTCCCAAGTTCCTGTTCCTCTTTGTTGAAAGCCAAATATCCCCAGAGGCCACCGACTGCCTTTAGGGAACAGGCTTAGGCCGGAGAGGGGAGGAGACTCGGGATGCCTCTGTCTCGGCTTCCACGCAGCGAGCCCTCCTTCCTTCCTTCTCGCCTTCCAAGTAGATCTCTTTTGGTATGTGCATATATAATAATAAATATAAATCTCTCTCTATATTCTGCTGTCTCGGCCCCGCTTCTCGCCTTCCTTTCCGTCTTCCTCCTGGGTGGAGATCTGGAGTTTCCTTCCTTGGCTCCCCCCCAGCGTCGCCTATATACCACCCCTGCCAGCCCCCTCCCCGGCTGGACCACCCGAGCGTTGGAGGTAACAAAGGGTTGCCATGGCGACCGGATGCGGGGGAGGATGCTGTCGTCAGAGCCGGTGACACAGGCCGGCGCGCGTGAAAGGGGAGGAGGCGGAGGAGAAGAAGGAGGCGGAGGCGGCAGCGGGGGAAGGAGCGAACAGCCCCGGGGTTCCCCCGCCCTCCTCCGCTTCCGGTGCAGATTCCCCTCAAGGGGGGGGGGGGTGCGCGTGACCCGCCCAGGCGGTGTCGTGAAGGCAGCAAGCGCTGCAAAAAGTTACCCCGTTCGGGTGCCAAGATGAAAATGCCCTTGCAGGAAGAGCAAAAGGGCTTCAGAAAGTGTGTGTGGAGGGGGGAACCAAAGGTATCCTCATATTTTTTTTTATAGAGAGGTATTTCAAGGGGGGGGGAGACCGGTGGTTTCTCCCCCCCCACTCCCCCCCCCCCCGGTTATTATCCATTATAGTGTATTGTTCACACACACAAACACAAGCAGTGTACCAACTGGGGGTCCTTCTGGTCACTGTTTGGGGGGAGCTCACGCCCCTGCGAGAGTCGCCCCCTTCTCCTCCTCCTCCCTCCCCTCTACCCACTCTGTGCGCGTCACCATCTCTCACCCCACCTTCTCTTCCTCCCCCCCCCCACTCTCACGCTCTTGCAAGTGGAAGGCGCGAGAAACGCTCGTGAGTCACCTGGAAGGTGCAAAGATCCCAGTCCCTGGAGGGTTAATTAGCAGCACCGAGGTATTAGAGGAGACCAGGCGGGGAGACTAAGAAGGGTGGGAATCCCAGGGGTGAAGCCAGGACAGCAAAGGTGGGAGGAGGGGACAGGAAGGGGAGAGAAAGTCAGCATTCAGTCTTATCTTATAATAACATTAATTCAATTTGGGGCCAGCCCGGAAGAAATGCTAGGGGGCCGGGCCCCGTGGGCCCCACATTAACTACGGGCCTGCGGGGAACCCACGGGATTGGGGACGCAGGTGGGGGAAGAACTGCCTTCTCTAAAATTCTTTCCTTTCTCATTGATTTTCTCCTCTTTGGAGAGAAAGGCTAGTTTATTTAAACAATGACAACTGAAGAGAACCTCCATGTTCAGAGGGAGTGTACCTCTGAGTATCAGTCGCTTGGGGTGCTGCCTTAATTTGCTTGTGGAAAGTATGTGGCCGTCCACTGTTGGAAGCAGGATACTGTGCTAGAGAAACCTTAGCAGGACCCCCCCCCCACGCTCCTACAGGCCATATACACTTTATGAAAGAAATCAGGCAAGCCAATTTATGCCTTCTTAAGTTTATGTAAACGGACGGCTTCTTCTTCTTCTCCAGAATCAGCTACATTCAGATCTCAGGGTTTGGACAGGAATTCCAGGCAGGTTAAAGGCGCTGTGATGATGCCCGATCTGCTCAGGCAGGGTTATCATATTTTGAAAAGCAAAACAGAGGACGTGTTCACCTACTTCAAACAACTGATCACTATGACAGATCTCATTTTGAATATCCCTACTATTTAAGCTGAAGCTTGCCTCCCTTGGGGACTATGGGGCAAAACAGGCTCAGCCTCCCGACCCTAAAAAAGGACATTTTCATCAGTTTTTTTAAAAGAGCCCCAAAGAGGACAGAACCAAAAAAGGGGTGTGTGACCAATGCTCCCTCTAAGCTGTGTAAGCAAAAATTCTACTTTGTGAGCTACTGGCATTAAAGTTGTGAGCGAGCAATTGGGCTACTGTATAAATTAGTTTGTTCTGGAGCCATTCTTCCTGAGCTAAGACAAAAATGTGTGAGCTGGAGGCTAAAGAACTGTGAGCTAGCTCACACTAACTCAGCTTAGAGGGAACACAGTGTGTGACATGTCCTCTAAAAAGAGAATATCTGGTAACCAGTGCTCCCTCTAAGCTGTGGAGTCTTGTGAGCAAAAATGTCACTATTTTGTGAGCTACTGCTGACATGTGAGCCTGTAATTTGGCTGCTGCATCAATTAGTTTCCTCTGGAGCCATCCTTCTTGATCTAAGACAAAAATGTGTGAGCCGGAGGCTTAAAAACTGTGAGCTAGCTCACACTAACTCAGTTTAGAGGGAATACTGCGTGGTGGTAACCAGGGCCGTCTCACCCACTAGGCGAAATAGGCATTTGCCTAGAGCGCCGGGCCCTGGATGGGGTGCCGAACTGTGCCTCCCCCCCCGCCAGAAGCCCGTGTTCTATTGCTGCTCCCAGCCACGTGGCATGGGGGGCGTGAAAGGGGAGCGCAAGGCCACCTCACCTTCCCCCTCCACCTGGGGTCGGCTTTTGTAAATCCAAATGTGGGGTGTTTTGGTTTCGGTGTCCGGAAACCTCGCCACCTCCTCCTCGCTCGCCTAAAGGGGGAGAGAAGTAGGACTTCCTTCTCTCCAGGCTCTGCCTGGAGGTTGGCAACCCCATAATTGGGTGCGCGGGGGCGCCAGAAGGTAGCCCCGCCTAGGGTGCAAAAAAACCTCAGGCTGGCCCTGGTGGTAACCCTAGATCAGGACTCTCAAACAAGCTGACGTAAACGGTCCATAGAGAACAAATTGTCCTGCGCTTGTATTTAGCTTATTACAGTAAGCATGACTTGGCGTGTCAGACCACCCCCCTCCCCGCCTTCCTCCTCTCCTCCTGGGAAAGCGTTACCATATTTTGCAGGCTTCAGGGCTTCTGCTTCCTAAAAAAGAATGCGGAGCGCGAATGTAATTGCTCAGCTGAACGGTGCCTGTTGGGCCCATCATGCACAAAGCGCTGCCATGGGGAAGGATTCGCAACGTTGCCAAGACGCACTGGCGTAAACTGATCGCCCGGCGATCAGGCCATCCTAATTACTAGTCTAAATAAGGCTGTTTAAAGGGATATACAAGGTGCTGTATTTAGCAGAAGAAACAGGTCGCTCGTCGCTGCTATTCATGTGTCCATTGAGAAATTACTACCCGAGGAACTGCGCAGCGTTGTATCGTTAGTGAAGTTAATGGCGCATTTATGGGGGGGGGGGCGACTATTAAATACCGAGCAATGTAGCTTTTCCTCAGGATAAGCATGTCGAAATTTTCGGTTCTGCACTGTTGGTCTGCGGTAATATATGATGTAGGCTTCTACCCTAGGCTAATTTTTGTCTACTCCCCCCAGAGAATCTTGAGAAATGTAGTTTGGTCGATGGTTTTTAAAATTCGGTATAATACAGGCACAGTCCATCGATCTAGCTTAGTTTTGTCTACTCTGACAAAAATTAGTTTTGCCCATCTCCTTTCCCAACATCTATCAGATATTTCAGTGGGACATGCTGGATTTTGGGGGCTTTGTGCAAAGAGAGAACTCTGCCGCCGAGCTAAAGCCCCTCCTGTATTATTTTCAGCTGACCACTGGCTGAAGCTTTGAGCAAACCAAACAACACCAGTCAAGCAAAATGGAACCCATATGGATGAGAGTCCCGTTGTTTTCAGATACTTTCTTCCATACAGGGAACTGATAACTGTCTAAATGGACAAACCTCAGTTGCTTGCCTGTAACCACTCTTTTTGATACTTGATAGGTGTCAGACTCCTGCAACAATCAGAATCAACAACTCGCTTCTTCAGAAGGAAAGTTTATTGATCAGTATTGGCAGAACATCTCTACTTCAGGAACTGTGTTAAGACTAAAGCATAAAGTGCGGGGTGAAGAAATATACAGTGTTCAAAGGGGGTCACTGGGTGGGTAAGAGCCAATGGGGAGAAGAGGGCCCCGCCGGAATGTAACAGTCCCACTTTCCCAGACAAGGTAGTATGGTGAAACATTCAAGACCAAGCACATAAAACATACAGATAAGAGAGCGAGCATCACTGAGGCAACCAGGAAATCGAAAGTACATTCCAAGGAGTGAGTGGTCCCCCACCACCAGCCCTTATGGCAGTGAGCTGACAATAGGGTTCTGAGCTCCAGGTTGTGAAATACCTGTAGATTTGGGGGTGGGACCTGTGGAGGGGTATAATGCTGTACAGTTCGCCTTCCAAAAGAGCCATTTTCTCCAGGGGAACTGATCACTATAGCCAGGGGTCATTTTGTAGAAAAAGAGGTGCAGGAGCTCATTAGCATAACTCATTAGGATAACTTATTTGCATATGCCACACCCCCTGACATCACCGGAAGTGTGTCAGAAGGCAACACCCACTGCAACTTACCTGGCTGCTTCTTGCTCCTCATGGCCCAGGGCTGCTGGGAGCAGGGGGTGGGGCTTGTTGCATGTGCCCACCCCCTGGGCTCTTTACTGCCGGAGCTCCGCTCCTGTGCGCTCCTGCAGAAAATGACCCCTGACTATAGCCCAAATAATTGGTCAGAATTCCGGGAGATCTCCAGCCACCACCTGAAGGTTGGCAAACCTTTTTTTAATCTCATTTCTCTTTCCTGTGCTACTCTCTGCCCTCTCCCACAATTTCTTGTTGTTATTTCTTATGGTTATTTTTTGTTATCCCATTCCCAACTAAATAAAAGCAAAACATAACTGACAAATAAAGGAAGAAATCCTATTGTTGTCCTCAACCAATAACCATGCCCCACGGGTGGACCTCCTGGTGGCACCTGGTCTTTTTGGCCACTGCGTGACAGAGTGTTGGACTGGATGGGCCACTGGCCTGATCCAACACTGGCTTCTCTTATGTTACGTTCTTATGTTTCTGGAGAGAAAAGAAGTACCAAACCAGTTTAGGCACCTTATGCAGAGTTGCAATATTATTCCTGACTTTTACGTTTTCAAAGACAGATTTAACATTTCGGCACAATTTGAGTCCTTCTTTGCATCTGGCATAACTT